CTCAGCAAGAGCTCTACGACTTATTCTCCGTACTTTCCCTCCCATTAATTATATACGGCGACTTTAACAGCTGGAATACCATCTGAAGCTGAACAGTGAACAACTCTCGTGGTACTCTTTTAGAAAAGGCCTTCATTCAAAACAATCTCTGCACTTTTCAACTCATCACACTTTTTCACATATCGATTTAACATGTTGCTCTCCCTCACTTCTTCCTTTGGTTTCCTGGTCTATTTCTGATAATCTACATAATAGTGATCACTTTCCAATCATAATCGATCTTAAACTTTCAACGTCCTCTGCTACCCCAGCAAAACAGTCCAAATTCCTCCTAGATAAAGCGGATTGGATCAATTACTCCAAACAGGTGGAGTCATTTTTGAATTCAAAGCCATTTAACGGAAACTGCAACCATGATGCTGCTATTATGTCTAAAGCGATTCGCACGGCTGCTCATCTTTCTATTCCTCAATCCAACAGATCTTTTAAACAAGCTATGGTTCCTTGGTGGAACAACACGCTTTCGTTTTTGAGGAAAAATAAAATGGATCTATGGCACCGCTTTAAGAGATGTGCTGATCATGATCACTTGTTACTATACAAATAGGCCAATGCTCTATTCAGGAAGAAATTACGAAAATCAAAGGCACTTAGTTTCGAACTTTTTTCGAGAGGAATTCACAGAAATACATCAATGAAAGTTGTCTGGAACAAAATCAACAGATTTAATGGGACTTCAAATTTGAACGAAAACTTTAACTGATGCAGATGATATTTCTAATTACTTTGGAAAAGTGTGGTGCGAATACATCTCTGATAACAACTTCTCCAGTGCTTTCAGCGAAAATAAAAGGACTCCAATGTGCCATGTTCCTGGAAAATTGCATATCCACCTTAGAACTTCGAAGTTGTCTCTCCAATTTGAAGGGGAGGACACTTGGTCTAGACCACATTTCATACCAAATGATCAGCGCCATGTCTAAGTCTAGTAAAAAGAAATTACTGGATCTATATAATACGGTATTTATGACTGGCCATATACCCTACATGTGGAAACTGGCAACAGTTGTTCCAATTCCAAAGTCAAAAAATGTCTCCATCGCATCTGATTATCGCCCAATTTCTCTTTTGTCTTGCCTCTCTAAGGTTTTAGAGAAGATTATGGCATCTAGATTATCTTGGTTTCTTGAATCCAAGAACCTGATAACAAAGCAACAAGTTGGTTTCAAGCGGGGTAGAGGATGCATCGACGCTCTGTTACATATTGATTATTTCACAAGCAAAGCAATTTCCGAACGAAATCACGTAACAATTCTCTCAATTGATTTCGAAAAAGCATTTGACAGAGTTGGTCTTCATGTTATTTTAAGACTCTTGAAATCATGGAATGTTGGACCCAAATTCTTCAACTACATCAAATCATTCATGTCGCATCGGCGGTTCAAAGTTAGAATCAACAATCATCTTTCTGATTCCTTTCCGCTAAAGAATGGCATTCCGCAAGGATCTCCTCTCTCTGTCACGCTTTTCCAGATCGTCTTCAACGAAATTAGCAAAATTCTTTGCCGTTTACCAAGAGTGGAACGTTGTCTCTACGCAGACGATGTATACATTTTTACAAAAGAAAAAGATAGCACGAAGGCACTCAACATCCCCGAATCTATTGGGCGAGAGATCTCCGCATGGGCAAACTCGTCAGGGGCTAAAATTTCCATACAAAAATCTAAAAAAATGCACATTTGTTGAAAGCAGATTTGCGATGCAGGAAATCTACTGATGCATATTAAAGACTTACCAGTACTAAATGTGCCGATACTGCATCTTCTCGGGCTCACTTTTTCCGACAAATATCGTTGGAAAGCGCACTGTCTGCGGTTAAAAAACTCTATTTTAACAAGGGTGAATTTCATACAGTACGTTGCTTGGAAAAGCCATGCGCATATTTACACTATTGCTTATCTTACCAAAATGCTTGTGTTAAGCAAGATTGACTATGCTTTGATAATTTATGGCAATAGCTGCAAATCTAATATTTACATCCTTAAACCGGTCTATCACCAAGCCGTCAGTGTTGTTATGCTTTTCGGACGAGGCCTATAAATAATATTATAATTGAAACTGGTCTCCCAACTTTAGAAAATAGACTGTATGAGTTAAAAGCTAAAATAGTCGCCAAGCTTCTTAATTCAAACAAATCTATTCTCGGTGATGATGTGAGAAAGATTATTATTGCGAAAAAAATTCCAAAGTCAGTATCTGCAATTGACCATTGTTCGTACGTTGCAAAGGAATTGAAAATTCCCTTAAAAAGTTTCCGCTCTTTTGTTGTTAAACCTCCATGGATTTTGAAAGACTGCTCTTTTGACATCTCGCTGTCTATGCACAAGAAAGAAGATACTCCAAATTACGTCTTCAGGAATCTAATAGCTGAAAAAACCCAAGTATTGGAGAGTACTGGTTGGAATCTTTCATACACAGATGGCTCAAAATCTTTTGGCCTGCCTCCTGCTTGTGCCGTGATGGATGCTACAGGACGGGTTCTTCTCAATCACATACTTCACGAAAGTACTTCAACTTTCACAAGCGAAGCCAGACCTATCGTTCACGCTGCGATTCTTGCCCATAAAAACAAACTCAAAACCGTCATTGTTACCGACAGTTTGTCTGTATTACAAGCTATTCGGAGCTATTCGACTTCGAGATGGAGCACCATCAACAAATTAAAGAATATAATCTATCCGACGGAAAAATTAAAATGGTATGGGCCCCAAGTCACATCGGTTTATTGGGAAATGAGCAGGCTGATCGAGCGGCAAAGTATGCTGCTTCTGCTCCTCTAATTATGGATGATGTCATGGAAAAGTTGGATCTTCAAAGATACATTGGAAGAAAAGTTAAGGAGAAAATTGCAGAAGAAAATTTACAATACCATCATCAACACTACTCTTTCATTAACCCTCAATTAACTCCACCTTTATAGCCAACAAATGTTGAGAAAACCAAGATCCAAACATTTTCGAGAATTCGCCTTGGTCATACAATTGCAACTCACCAATGGATCTTGACGAAGTCTTCCTCCCCAATCTGCAGTTATAGACAAACTCTCACTATAAAGCACATTCTCTGCGACTGCCCTAACTTTTCCTTGGCTAGAAGTATTGCATTTGGAACGACAAACCCTTTGGACATTCTGAAATCAGCTTCAGAACCGAACATCAATTCTATATATTACTTTATTAATACTATTAAACTCATTATCCAATGTACATTTATTTATGTTAGGAAATAGCCAGCAAAGCAATGCCATTCACGGCCAGTTGAGAGTCACTGTCACTGCTTTAGTACAGTTTTTATTTTCTTTTGCAAAACTCTTCAATATATGTTTTCATATGTAGATTTCAATGCGTATGATTTATAATTTAAGCACAGTCGACCAACAATTATCTAAAAAATTGTTCCTTACTTCTAGAATAATAATTAATACCTAATATCTAAGTAAGGGGCTATTGTTGCGTGTATCAACCAAAAATCGAATAATTTCGAATATTTAAGATTGCATTAACTGTATTTGTTCAGCCAATTATTTTTATTATGAATATCAAATAATATCAATATACAAAAAACGATGTATTACAATTCTTTTTTTAATAATAATATTGCGGTGGCTCCACATTGGATCCTTCAATGTCACTACCTTTCAGATATTTGTTCAGTGTTGCGAAAATCTGCGAATTCAGTACTTGAAAGCGTCTTATACGGTTTACCATACGTTTAAGTTTCTGCATAATTTTAATATAAATTAGGTGCAAATAATTTAGTAAGTATAGAAAATTAATATAACTATTTAAAGACTAACTCTTACGATCCCTTTCAAATCTTCATCTCATCGGTACGCTGCACTCTTAACAAAAGTCCAAAACTTCAAAACGCCTTTTGTGATGCACATAAAGCTATTAAAACATTCCTGTTTTATTTTCAATATTTTCTCCTATTGATTGCTATCACTGTTTTCTCGATTAGCAGGTAACGGTATTTGCAAAGCATTCATTACTAACAACTGGCTCATCTTTATGTTCATCCTTCATATCACTTTGTAACACTTTAGCCTTTGCTCCTTTTCTAGGCTTTGCAGTTTAAAAAATTGCATTTATCCAAGAATTGCCTTCAGCCACACGAATTAAATTCTCAAAAACTGTGAAGTAAATTCCTCATTTATTCAAACTGTCAAACTAACCATGGAATGTCCTTAATACTGCTCAATACTGCTACGCCAATCGGCTTGTAAGCAGTTTTAGAAGCAATTTTGGGCTCCTCATCTTCGACTTGAATTGGAGGCGCAACCTTTGGCCCCATATCTATATTACTTCTAATTGCTATTGATTTTTTTTCTTTTGGTGTATTGAGTAGAGATGTCGAAATAATAAACTGCCGGAATTGGTCATAAATATAGATATAAAACGCGACAAAAAAAGAGCGGCCATATTTGGAAAATGGCCAACACATCCACTGGTTTAAAATTGAAAGGAGACCTTGGTCGATTCGGCAAAACCGAGTTTAGTGACATATACGCCGTTTATATGCTGACTGATGAAAATATTATATCCGGCTGTGAGTGGGGTAACATGTTATTAGGGGAAGCGGGTTTAATAAAATTTGAAATAACTCGTAAGGGACGTAAGCCATTCCATACAAAACCTATCGTAAGAATAACTATGGAAGGTGGTGAAGTAACTACAATGGGTATTAACGGTTATTTGCGTGTCTGGTTTTGGGAAACAATTGATGCGGCCGATCCTCCAGATGAAGATCGATTTATAGAAATTGAACCAATATATGACTTTTAAGTAATGCGTGGACAGGGCCATGTAAAAAATTAAATTATTTGACAATGAAGATTTTGGGTATTACATGATGTTGCAGATTTTGGGTATTACATGATGCCTCACGGTCGTATAGCTAAAATCAAAGTTTGATTCCTGGAATGGTATTCGTCGTTATCATAGGACGGTTTAGGCGACATTTGATATTGTGAACTCAATCCTAGAGAAATGCAAAACCCACCTTATAAACTATATTCCTGCCATGACTGCAACATTGTTGCTGCTCAAGCTAGCTCTATCTTACCTCTTCTTGTTACTTTAGGTGAAGATGGTAAGATTTTCGTGTATGATTTTAAAGCTAAAATGTTGCTACTGCAAGAGGAGTTTGATAAAGCGGGCACTGGTATCATAAGGTTCAGTGGACGAATATCGTTATCGGGTATGGATTTGGTTGTAATGGTGATTTATTTATTTATTTATTTATTTATTTATTCCACTTATACTAGAAACTCAACTAAACAAATAACAGTCGAGTTCAATTGGCTCTTAATGCAAAACTTATATTAATTAATAATAAAATTTAGTATATGTATAATAAAACAAATAAGAAGAAAAAAAAAAAGAAACAAAAACATGTACACTATCAACATAGGGCCACACTTACAACCGGTACAGGACCAAATTGCAAATGAACCCCTAAGCCATCGCAAACATGCATAAGCCTGGCAACCGATAATAAATTGACAATAATTCATTTTCGAAACGCAACGACTTTTTAAGGATAAAAGCTAGTTTAAATACGACATAGGTAAGTCGCGCGTATTAAGCAATGTTGCTTTAATGGACTTTAAAGAGTTAGATAACGAGAATAAGTGGTAGACGTCATTTAGGTTCTTGCAAACGACTAAGCTTAACCAAGATAAAGTGGCTAGACAAGCGGTTAGGGACATTAAAGCTTATTTCACCAAGTAATGAAGGCGAGTCAATGGCACCATTAATTACTTTAGTTAGGAAGGAAACGCCAAAAATAAACCTACGTTTCTCAAGAGACGGTAGGGACAGCAGAAGCAACCTATTTTCATATACAGGAGGAACTACAATTCGACTTGGGTGATGTACGAGACTATCCAGCCTATGACTTGGAAGTGGCTGAGCCGGGTTTTTTTTCTTTTTTCATATAAACGGTCGGCGGTAAAGATAGTCTGCTTCTAGAGATAAGGAAAGCTCGTTTTTTTATTTTTTTTTTTGAAATTAAAGTTTAGTATTGTTTTGGAATGCAAAAAAAAAAACAAGAAGAAAACTTCAAACAGCGAGAAATTTAGATAAATGCAAGAGGTGCGAAATTTACATCCCTTTTGCTATTAGTTACTATAATTGGTTTATATAAACATTCATCTAAAACTTGTATAAGTTTCTATGTGTACGCATGGGTCGCCCTTAAACGTTCGTAACTTATTTGAAAATTAAAGCAACAACTTACACACATCTATACTTAACACATAGAGTTCCTAGTCTGTCTGCATGTATGTGAGTATGTTTTCAATTAATTACCAGTGAAGACTAGTTTGAGGCTCCAGAAGAGAAAGGTGAAGAAGTGCTTGAACTGCCTGAGGAAACTTTTTTCTGCGGTCGTGCAACGCTTCAGCAGAAAAATGGTGCGCCTTTCAAGAGAAGGCGCACCATTGCGAGTGCGAGATCAATTTAATAGAGAAATATTTCCCTGGCTGTGGTATAGAAATCAACGATACACTATACCTTGAGAAGAAAGTTGAAGATCTACTTCCGAGGTGATCTATAACCAAAATTAGAAAGCTTAAAAATAAAGAAGTTAAAATTCTTGAATTGGATCAGATGTCGATGTAAAGGCTGGAAGTCTTTTCCGAAGCATTCTCATCTTGTAGAGGAATTCAAGCAATTACCTAGTCCACCTAACTCTGGCGTTTTATTTGAGCAATGAAGGAGAGCCTTCGCCCTGGTTAATAGAAAAACAAGACAGCATTCTAAATCAAAGCGTTCAAAGATTGGATAATCTTTTGACGGAATTAAACGATGGTCGACTCCAAGTAAAATATGAGACTGATTTCACGACTAGTTATCTAACAGCTATGAATCAAAAGCTATATATAATGAGAGACAGTGAACAGATAGAAAATCAATTATTAAATAATGCTGAATACGCTTTGACGACACGTTAACGCGTTGACACGGCAAATTGACGATTTGCGTAAAAGCTGCGAATCGCATTAATGACCAAATTACTGCAATTCAAACAAAATGTATGACTAACACTAAGGGTCATAAGTTTCTCGACTTTTTGCGTCGTATTTTTTGCAAAAAATAGCGTCCACCTACGCCATTGAAAAATGAAGATGGTAAACTATATAGAATTTAAGCGTAAATTGCTCTGAAAGCCTCATATACCCTCGTTTTTCTATGTTCTATATGCTTCTTTAGAATCGTCCGAGTCGAGCTCGGTGGATGAATCCTCCAGCGGAGGGGAAGAAGACACCAAAAGTATTGACCTCATCGATAAGACGGCCATACGTTATATATGTTACTTGTAATTGTTTTGATTTATTACAACAAAAATTTTATTTTATTTATCAACTAGAACTGATAACTAAATTTAATAAACTAGTGTAAATATATGCAAAATATGTATCTACACAAACGCAGGCTCTTTTGGCACGCACGAACTTTCAAATATACGTAATATACGTAATATATTGTGACGTTGACGTGGTTGCCGTCGATATCTTTTCAATAGCGAAGTACAATGCCGTTAAGAAACGAAGTGGCAACGGAATGGAAGTTTGCGACAAGTGTATTCAATTCTTTCTTAATTGGCATCAAATTCAGACTATCAATTGTCACCAAAAATATTTTATATTTCATGCGATTAAGAAGTTAACGAGCGAATAAATAAAATAAAAAAAACCCGTTTGTATGTAAGCTTCTGTTTACCGCACGCTCCTTAAGCACTTAATACCTTATGATAATGAGAGCGACATTAGAGATAATAGGGAAACAGCGGGTTGAATTGAATCTGTGTTTTTCCGACGGCTTTAACAGAATTGAATCCCTCTGGTCTGTTCTTTAACAGAATTGAATACCTTTTGTCGATTAAGTTGGGCATTTAACATAGCTGATTGGCGTTAACATTTAAGTTGTTAAGTTGGGCATTTAACCATTTATTTATTAAAAGCTTTGCCTTTCAACAGGGAATTTAGCGAGGACTTTGTGTAAAAATTATCACGGTTTAATTCTAAGCTAACTTGTAAAATAAAGGAAATTAAAAAATTTCATATGAAAACATACATATATACAAAAACAATAAAGAAACATTAGATGCTAAATAAATTGTAGAATTTGTAAAATTGAACAAATTAAGAAACTTTATATGAAAACATACATTTATTAATAAAAAATAAAGAAACATTAGATACTAAATATCCTAAAGTTTTCACTACTTTCACTACTTTCCTTTCCTTTGTTTTCCCGACGGCTTATTTGCATTTTAACAGAGTTAAACCTTTGTTTTCTGTTAAGTTGGACAAAATTCTTTTGACGCTATGTTAGAATTTATTCTCTGGTAAATTTATAATAATAATAATTTTACAAGGTATTATCAAATTAACCAAAACAGCAGCCAAATTTTCTGCTAATTTACAGAACGAACTTAACACTCTATGCTATTTACAGAAATAACGTAATACATTATGTTAATTGTAAAGCCGTCGGCAAAAGTCCCCCAATTTTATATTTTTTATTACTTGGCAACGGTATTTGTCCAAACTAAAAAACTAGTTATAACAACGGAGCGTTAGGAACGCAACATAGAACTGATTGTGTCAGGACTACTTTTTGAACATGTAACAGACTAAAAGGTATAACAGACTGAATGGCGTTATCATTTAAGTTGTTAAAGAGTTTGACAGAAGTACTTACGTTTTTTTCATTTGTAGTCGCTTCTCTAATTCAAGAGGCAGACAAATTCGAGATTTTCTTGAAAGCAGCAATTTACTCTTACTAAATAATGGTGATCCTATTCATTTTGGTGGAGCTTCTTCTTGCGTGGATCTTTCGATATATACACCTAATCTAAATTCTCCTGGAAGACCCTTACGGACAGCTTTGCTGGTTCTCACTGTCTAATCGAAATTGGTCTTCATTTGCGTAGTACTACCCGCTGCCACTCACGTACCCATGTTTCAAAGTACATCAAACCTTCTTTACTTAACAATACCACTCGTAACATTTCAAACAACATCCAAACCAATGTGAAGCGAAGTGGCTTTTAATGTAGAAATTGTAACGTATAATAATATTTAATTTAATGCGTGGGATGTGGGTGGTCAGGATAAGATTAGGATATTGTAGCGTCATTATAAAAAAGGTAAAGTGAAGTACAAAAAAATGTATCTTTTATAAATGAAAAAATAAACATTGTTTTTACTTATGTTTCAGGTACCCAAGGCCGATCGAGAAAATCATATCGAATTGCAAATCTACAACAAAAGGGTGTACTATCTAAAAAGATGGTTCGGTGAAAAGAAAAAACCCTTTCTATAGGTGAAGATTACGTACCGCCGGAAATAAAGAGAATTAATTAGAATTAGCATAAGTACGTATATGTAAAACATTCTCACACAAAATAACTGTGCAACGTCATTTCCAAAGTATGTGAAACTTTGTTTACGTAACAATACTACTTATTTCAAAAATTATCGAAGCCAATGATTCTGGTGGTTTCGTTCACAAGTTCTCAACGTCTTTCACTGATTCTCTGAAACGAAAGTCTTCTACAAAATCTTACCTTCCTAATCCTTGGTGGAACACCGCATGCAATCGTGCCACTGCCAAACTTAGGCCCGCTTTAAATAAATGCAAAAGATCTCCTTCTAGAATAAATTTCACATATTTGGCTGATATTAGAAAACTATATATTTATACTCTCAGGCTGGAAAAACGTAAAGGTTGGAAACAATTTTTGAAAATGTGAATAATGACATGTCAATCCCAGATGTTTTGCATAATGTCAGAATTTTCAGAGGTATCAGCTCCTCCCTTTCTTCCATTTCCTCACAAAACTTTAACGAGTTCTCTGACAAACTTGCTGGCTCTTGGATGAGGAGAGTTAATCTCTCAAAAGTCCGGGTTTAGATGGTATTCTTAACAATCAGTTCAAAATAATGAAAACAGATTAATTTTACTAAAACAATTTAACAATATTGTAATTACAGGCTGTATGCCTTCTTCCTGGTACGACTTCCAGTTCACTTTAAGAAAAAACGAGTAACTCCTCAGCTAATTTTAATTCCTACAGATGAATTGCGTTAGAAA